CGAAACCACCCCCGTCCCAGCAATGGGTTGTGCGCTGGGCTTGGGACCCGCCACGTAAAAACCACTTCCAGTGAAGAAGCAAGGCAAAGCCTCGGATGAGACCCCCCCCCCTTATGATGACGACCACGGCAAACGTTTAAAGGACTACGATTTGAGGGCATGCACCTGGAATGTCCGGACCCTTAATGGGGAAGGTGCCTCTGCCCGGCTGGTTGATGTCCTCGTAAGGACAAAAGCTGACATCACCGCCATCCAAGAAATGCGTTGGACGGGGCAAGGCAAACAATGTCTGGGGCCTTGCGACGTCTACTACAGCTGCCATGTAAAGGAGCGCAAATTCGGAGTTGGATTTGTGGTGGGAGAGAGACTCCGTCGCCGAGTACTGTCGTACACCCCGGTGGACGAGCGTCTAGCCACAATCCGCATCAAAGCGAGATTCTTCAACATCGCGCTCATCTGCGCCCATGCCCCGACGGAAGAGAAGGATGAGGCTTCCAAGGATCTCTTCTATGAGCGCTTGGAGCGCACGTACGAGCGCTGGCCCCGCCATGATATCAAAATCGTGCTTGGCGACTTCAATGCCAGGGTGGGCAAGGAAGGGATCTTTGGAAACACCGTCGGAAAATTCAGCCTCCACGACGAAACGTCCGACAACGGATTGAGGCTGATCGACTTCGCCGGGGCCCGAAACATGGTAGTATGCAGTACTAGGTTCAAGCATAAAAGGATTCATCAAGCTACCTGGCTGTCTCCGGATCGAAAAACGAGAAACCAAATCGATCATGTTGTGATAGACGGAAGGCACGCTTCCAGTGTTTTAGACGTACGCACACTCCGAGGCCAAAACATCGACTCGGACCACTATCTTGTTGCAGCCAAGATACGCACCCGTCTCTGTGCAGCAAAAAATGTGCTCCCAAATATGCAAGGAAAGCTTAACGTCGAAAAGCTGCAATCACAACAGACAGCCAGCGCTTTCGCTACTCGACTCTCACACCTGCTCTCTTCAACAAACCGACATATGCGAGCAGTGGAACCACATTTCCCGCTCATTAAGTACCGCCGCCGAAGAAGTAGTCGGATTTCAGCGAGCCCGAAAGAACAACTGGTACGATGAGGAGTGTCAGGAAGCAGCAGAGAAAAAAGATGCCGCCTACAGGGCTACGCTGCGATCGGGCGCAACGCGCGCTATGTGGGACCGCTAAAGGGATCTGAAGAGGGAAGCGAGACGTATTTGCCGCAACAAGAAGAGAGAGGCAGAAATACGTGAGTGCGAAGAGCTTGAAATGCTGGCCGACAGGAGGAATGCCCGAAAATTTTACCAGAGAGTTAGGCGACTTACGGAAGGTTTAAAGACCGGGGCGCACTCCTGTAAGAACAATAATGGCGACCTTGTAACTGATGTTCAGAGCGTCCTTAAATTATGGAGGGAACACTTTTCCGCCCTACTAAATGGTAGCAGCACGGAAAGTTGTGGAGAAGAAGAACCCGAGCCCGCAGTCGATGATGACGGAGTCGACGTTCCACCGCCTGACTATGACGAGGTACGTATAGCAATAACGCGACTGAAAAACAACAAAGCCGCTGGAGCTGACAGCCTGCCAGCTGAGCTATTCAAGTACGGCGGCGAGGAGTTGATAAGGTGCATGCATCAACTCTTGTACAGAATATGGTCAGATGAACGCATGCCCGACGACTGGAATTTAAGTGTGCTCTGCCCAATCCACAAGAAAGGTGACCCCGCCATTCGCACCAACTACCGCGGGATCAGCCTTCTAAGCATAGGTTACAAGGTCTTATCGAGCGTATTGTGTGAAAGACTGAAGCCTACCGTCAATGAACTGATTGGGCCTTATCAGTGTGGCTTTAGACCTGGCAAATCCACCATAGACCAGGTATTCACAATACGCCAAATCTTGGAAAAGACCCGCGAGAAAACGATCGACACTCACCACCTATTTGTCGACTTTAAAGCTGCTTTTGACAGCACTCAAAGGAGTTGCCTATACGCCGCTATGTCTGAATTTGGCATCCCCTCAAAACTCATACGGCTGTGTAAAATGACGTTGAGCAATACCACCAGCTCCGTCAGAATTGGAAAAGACCTCTCCGAGCCGTTCGCCACAAAACGGGATTTCAGACAGGGCGACTCCCTTTCGTGTGACTTCTTTAATCTGATGCTGAAGAAGATAATAAGAGCTGCAGAACTGAACCGCTCAGGAACAATTTACTACAAGAGCGTGCAATTGCTGGCTTATGCCGATGACATCGACATCACCGGTAACAAAAACCGCGAAGTCTGTTCTGCCTTTTCCAAGTTGGATAGGGAAGCAAAGCGCATGGGTCTGGTGGTAAACGAGGACAAGACGAAGTATCTCCTGTCATCAAACAAACAGTCAGCACATTCGCGCCTTGGCACCCACGTCACTGTTGACAGTTACAATTTCGAGAAAGTAGAGAATTTCGTTTACTTGGGAACCAGCATTAACACCGATAATAATGTCAGCATTGAAATCCAACGTAGAATCACTCTTGCCAACAAGTGCTACTTTGGACTGAGTAGGCAATTTAGGAGTAAAGTCCTCTCTCGACGTACGAAAACCACGCTCTATAAGTCACTCATCATGCCCGTCCTGGTATATGGCGCAGAAGCATGTACAATGACAACATCCGATGAGGCGGCTCTTGGGGTGTTTGAGAGAAAGATTTTGCGGAAGATTTACGGTCCTTTACGCGTTGGCGACGGCGAGTACCGCAGACGATGGAACGATGAGCTGTATGAGCTTTACAACGATATGGACATAGTGCAGCGAATTAAAATACAGCGGCTCCGCTGGCTTGGTCATGTCGTTCGAATGGACACCGACGCTCCAGCTCTGAAAGTATTCAACTCGGAACCCGCTGGTGGTAGCAGAGGAAGAGGGAGGCCCCCACTGCGATGGAAAGATCAGGTGGAGAAGGACTTGGCTTCACTTGGCGTTTCCAATTGGCGTCAGTTGGCACAGAGGAGAAACGACTGGCGTGCTTTGCTGAACTCGGCCAAAATCGCTTAGGCGGTTACAGCGCCAAAAAAGAAAGAAAAGAAGTGTAGTCTTCAAACTTTTCATTCATGCCTATTTTCGAATCGCTTTTTACCCGAGCCCCATGTAAATGCAGCTTAATTATTCACGCTCGCTTGTTATGACTTGCGAATCAGATTAGATCCATCGGATACTGTAATGTAGGCATGATTATCTTTTTTGAACTTCAATTTCGTTCTAAATATTTCTACTAAAAGTAGTGTTGATAATTTCGATACAATTGTACTTTTCTGATACAATTTCAAGTAATTTCTACTTTCCTACTACCCAGCACTTTTAAGTACAATTTCATCTAACAAAATTTGGCAGCACCTGATTCGTTAAGTTATACAGCACCGTTTTGATTAATTTCTTACTGGCCGTCTCCACAGGATAAAACTCATTGTTGTTCAGCTGTCATTTTGGTCGCAAGATATAAGTTATATCAGTGGCAATATTTGTGTGGGCTTTTTATATCTTGATATAAACAAGCATTTGTAAGATAAATGTAAAACGTATTTTAGCCAGATTTAATCGCTTAAAAAATTTAGAAAATCGGATATTTTACATACAACTACATAGTTACAAATATTTTAACAGAAAATTTGCATTTATATTAAAATATCATTAATGTTGCCGCCATGAAGTTTTCGTGCAAATAAAAATGTACCAAATTGCCGGCAATAGATAGCAAGATATAAGCTCTGATACATATTGCTCTTGAAGAGCAATGAGCGGTCTCCACTGGTTAGTCATATTCTAACATACACATGTATGAAGATATAAATTTTATCCTGTGGGGACGGGCAGTTAGATGATGGATTTAGAATCGCATAAAATTGATATACAGGACGTGTATTGTGGAGCTGAATCAGAAATGTTCATTTGTCAAAAAAGAAGAAAAACTGAAAGAAGAAAATGTTCTACATTTTAGAAAAAACGTAAAACAATTTTGTGTGGGCTTTAAAACTGAACTCTTCTTCTGTATTATGAGGCAATAAGCAAAGCATCGCTCCACTACTTAATTGTTTCAGAAATGTGAAATTGCTAGAATAGAAGACAGCAACACAGAATTTAGGGCCTTGGCTGAACACCTTGATTTGAAAAATTTTGGCAACGTCAATATTTTTGAGCTTTGGGAAAGAGTAAGAATCACCAAACATTTTTTAAATGAGCCATAATATCTCTCAAGGAGTGTTGTCGATTGCACATTCTTCAGCCAATGTTAAAAGGATCCTCTCCACACAAAAATTAATAACAATAATATGTATGTCGAAATAGACTTAATGTAGAAACAATAAAAAGTTCAGGCACAGTTGAAACTACGAGTAATTATTGCTGGATTAGTAATTTTTTGGAACTTACTCTCACTTTGTAAATTTAAAAATATCCATTCATTGTAAATCTTTATGTTTATAAACATTTATGTACTTACTATGTACATGCATTTAAAATCATAATATCTGATATAAAAGTGTGTAAACTTTATGTAAATAAAATAAAGGTAATATTGTTTCTAAATTTTTAGCAATTATTTGTACTTTATTAGGAACAATAATTTATTAGAAAAATAATAGGAATCAAAATTTGGTACAATTTAGTGATAAAAAGTACAATTTGAATTACATTTTCATACGAAATGGGAAAACGCAATTATCAACACCTGAAAAAACACAATATCTAAAAATGATTTGTAATGAACAGAAATTCAAATGGTATTCCCTACAGGGTAACATCTCCAACAGCTTTTGACTGTATGTATGTACCTTAGAGATTTTTCTTTTCGACGGCCATCGGTCAGATCACGCCTCGGCTCTGTCTGTTTATTGATAGCATTTGCATTATCAACTCTGTATTAACATATGTATATATGTATGCATTAGTGTGTATATTTTAGTAAATTTGTATGTAACATTGATGCTATTTAACGGCGGCAAATTGCTTGCTCATATTTTTTGGAGTGTGTGCGTAGACAGATGCTAAAGTACATACATGTATATGTACATATGTAAGTATATATTTTTGTAAATGTATAAAAATATTTATTCATATACAAAGCAACTTCCATCAGGTTTAATGATTCATGGATCCCTGTTGCTTGTGGAAAACAATTTCTACACAGAGAAAATGATACAGGTAAAACGCAAGTTTTTAAAAGAAATTGTAAAATAAAATTTTTTGATATAATTTTACTTCATACAAAATAAAAATTATAGTATTTGTACTTACGACTTTAAAACGAAACATTCGCAAAACAAAAACGATCGTTATAATATATTCACTTTTTTTTTACTGAGGAGAACAAACGACATTAAAGAAATAGCGTCAAAAACGCGTATTTTAAAAACTAAAATGAAACATTTTACAATATTGTCCCAACAAGTTGTAGCGCGATACAATTTTCAACAAGCAAAATAAAACTAGACATTTTTAAAATAAACTCGTTAATTTATTTTCAATCAATTAGGTATGAAAAATATTTAAAACTAAAATGTTTTGCATTAGAATTTAAAAAGCTACTTAGCTATAATGAAAAACTTTCATATGTTTGAATCGTTTGTCGGAAAAATTGTGTTCAGATAAATAAGTTATTTCAATCTTCAGAAAAGGCGATGAAGTATATACAAACAATACTGCCATTCTAACCACTAACTACATACATATAAGGGACATTCGTGGACTTCTTTGACCCAAAAAAGCTTTGGTAAGAGTAACTTATAAAAACAAATTCCTACGGGTTATTAAATATTAATTTAAAACTTTCCTAATTTAAATTACAGGATTTGACCAGCGTGAACAAAATTAGCAGGCCCAGCTTGGAAGTAAGGCAGGAACATCTGTATGTATATAGTAATATGTATATCAATATACTTTTGACAATGTGTGTACCAAACGACTTATTGTGATTTAATAAAAATAAAATTTTAATATCATATTTGAAAACGCATATTTTTAAAATTAAGAAAAAAATTTTAGGATTTAATTTCAACATGCGCATACTCAATTATCAAACAATCGTTTTTAAAAACAATTTGAAAATGTTCCGTTTCAAAACAAAAACATGGATTTTGGAAATTGAGTGGAAAACTTTCATTCACAAAATTTAAATAACTATTGTAGGTGCAAAACCAGGGTTAAAACGTTTTTAAAAGTAAAACGTTCCATACAAATTTTAAAACGAAAATTTCTCTGAGTAACAGAGATGTCAAAATTAAAATCTGCGCAAGGAAACCGCAATCAGCTTAGTTAGAAAAATTAAAAAAAAAATTTGAAAACTTTTCAAAAATATCCATATTTTCAATAGCTGACCATGCGCTCAAGCCGTGGGTGTAATTTTTATTCAGTTTTTTCATGGCTTAATTATGGTTTAATTATTCTCAAATCCCTTGGTAATAGTGAAAATATATTGTGTCATGAGATCAGCAACAAGCAGGGTTGGAAAAAAAGAAAATAAACAAGTTTTAAACAATTTTTTGTAAATGTTCTAAACATATTTAAACATTGTTTTAAACACTTTTATTAATTAAATACTTTCGAAATTAGGGGTAGGTAGAATCAAATCATAAAATATCTATTTGAAATTAATAATAATGTTTACCATTAAAATGAACGTTATATAAATAAAAAAGTAGTCTTCTGTATTATTGAGTTTGTGCTTGTACTCACAGTACCATAGTGAAATATAACTGTCATTCATTTTCCATGTTTTCGTTTTGTTATTGGGGAGTTTTGCAGTTTGGGAAATCCCCGAGTTCACGAGGTTCCATTGCAAGTGTCTACAATTTAACTAAAATGTATTCAGGCTTATTATGAGTTTTATTTTCTCCGAACCGGTTCACTTTTCGTTTCCGTGTATTCACTACGGGCGTATGAAAAAAATTCGGACGATAAGGGGCATTATGTTGCCAATAAAACTTATGAAAAGTACAAAAACTTTTAATTATATAATATCATATACATATATGAATAATGTTTTTTATATATGTTTTAAACTAAAAAAAAAAAATGTTTTAAAACGTGTGGTTTTTCCCCATTGTTTTAAACACATGTCTTAAACAAATGTTTTCAACATTCCCAACTCTGACAACAAGCCTGTAAAATACTAATGTTTGATTTAATTGTAAGGGCCCGCACATCGAACCCAAGTGACACACAGCACACTGGTCGAATAAAACCGATTCTTGTTAAATATTCAGGGTTCGGCAAAAAGGTTTAGCGCATATTATTAGATAATGAATTCATAAACGGAAACGACAAAGTCAAATATATCTCTATATATCAATTCCGTCGGAGATCCCGACGTGACAACTCGCTATCATGAATTCCGTTGTGATCACGAAATACTCCCGCGAATTCGAAATTCATGAGAATGGTATCACTGATTTCGAGTTATTTTATTTTAATTTATATTATTTTGATTTAGAATTATTAAACCAAAACATAAAAAAATCAAAGGCAGCACTAACATAAATGCGTCGGAATTGCTGATAGCATTTCTCCTGAATTCGTGAAGGGAGATTTTTTCACAACCAAATTGTAATTGATCTGTTGATAATTGCACGAGTCTATAGCCAAAAGATGTGGAGAACAGCATTCATATTTCTGGGGTGCATTTAGGTCGCTGGTTCCTAATACATATATTTAGTTTGTGAATTTTTGAAAATTTAGGAACAATTTCGGTAACTATAATACGAAAACGTTTATTTTCCATCACCGTAGAAAAATTTTGTTTATCGAGGACTTATATTCAATACCCTCTATCTACACTTTTCACAAAAATGAGATTCTGATATAAAAACCCACCTAAGACTTAACTACCATCGGTGATATTAATGCTGACCTTGTATAACGATTGACAGAAGAATTTACTATTAAATTGCAAAGTAAGAATTAACATCAGTTATGACAGGTAATTCCAAAATGGGTTCTAACATCGCAAAGTAGTTTTTCTGAAAATTACAGATAGAGGGTATTGAATATAAGCCTTCGTTATGCAAATGAGTATGGAAACACTTAACTACCAAAAATTGGAGAAACACTAAGGGCCGGTTACTCAATGTCTGGTTAACACTATCGTTATCGACGTCTTCGACTCCATGCATATAACAGGGAGTCGGTAACGTCGATAACTATGTTTAACCGGAGTGTTAACCAGATATTGAGTAACCGGCCGTAAGTCGTTTACTCATATTTATGCATACAATACAGAAATTTCCATTAGGGAAAAGTGTACCAAGGAATGACATTTTCGCTCAAGCTGAATACAAAGCAATATCGTCAGAAGAATTTCCCAGGATATTTTAAATATTTTTTACCTATAGTCACTTTTTCACATAATAGATTTAACTAAAATATTTATATCTAAATACTTATTGCAAAGTAGGGGGCCTACTTTCATATACGGCAAATTTACAAACCGCGAAAAATATGCTTCTTCGGTGACTAATGAAACCATTCCGCTCCAATTTTCAAGAATGCATACTAAAATGGGCGTTGCTCACATTAATTGTATTTTATAAATGTATTTAGGTATGTACTTGAAACTACTATTGACTTATCAAACGATTCCTAATCTTGGACAATCCGTGTTTGACTTCATTTACCACGATTTCGAAAACCTAAAAACGTTGGAAACAAATTTCGTCTTATATTTTTATTTTTCACTTGGTTACTGAAGTAAAGAAGAATTGAAAACTCGTACGGGAAAATTATCGCTTTAGTAAGTTTTTCTAAATATCTCGACAACTTGTAGTTTTATTGAAAAATTATATATGAGCGTGAGATACTAAAGTTAATAACCTTTAAACTGATATATCGTCTTGCTTATAACAATTAACGCATGCCCTGGATATTACCAGCCAAAGTTTCATTTTCTAAATTCATACACTTTTAATCAATTGCGCGGGCTAAAAGTATATTTTAAACTAATCTAAACGCTATTCTAGCGTTTTCAGCTAAAAACATTAATATTTTTACGAAGCGTTACTAAATTACAATTCACAAAGTAGCCAGATTTGTTATACAAGTAATGTAAAAACGTGAGTGAAGAAAAACAAAGCAAAACACGAGAAAAGAATTTACTTCCGAAATTAATCAGGAACTTTGTAAAAATCAAGTTTTTAATATAAATAAATATAAATTCAATAATTATGTTCGCTTAAGTATCCGCGTCGAGGTACTTAAGCGGGTTCTTTTAAGTACCCAACCCGCCTAAGTACCTCAAAAAGCTGACATTTTTCGTGAGGTACTTAAGCAGGTTTTACTGTACATGCATACTACATATCGCTTATTTACTAAAACACTGCACGGATACATTTGAGTCGCCCAACAAGACATTTGTTAGCAGCGCAATTACATACTCTCTTTATCTCTCCATTCTCTTGTTGAGGGCGGGCAAACACAAACCGCTTGGAGTATGCGTAAGTAAAAAACCGATCAATAGCAAGAAAAGAAGTATTTGCTTTGCAAGCGACAATTACCTCGACTGAAAAATATCCACAAGCAGCGTACTGTGCTTGAGAGTATTTGAGTATTTTCATGGAGCTGTTGATTGTTGGTATTTGGGTTCTGCTAATTATTTGCTTATGCGCACCAGGGATGATAAATGCGTTTTTTAATTTTGTACCAAATGGCAAAAAAAATGTACCAAATCAGCCGAAAAAATACCAACATATATGTTTTTAAATTAGGTAAATTTCTCTATAGGTACGTTCGTTTCAAATCTCCAGTAAAACATGCCCAGCAACAAAATTCCTGTGAACGGGTGAAATCTCTTCTCTCACAAGAGAAAAATATCCAGTATAGTATGCGAACAGAAAGTTTGCAGAAACCTTCAAGCTCTCCGAACATCTGATGAGATTTTAGTTTTCATTCCAAAATGTAAAAAGAAAAAATTCTCCATCAACTTAAGTTCAGGCCTCCGAATTACTGTAGCGTTTTCCAAGCAGAGGTAGCCGCTATACGGGAGGCTTCGGATTGCTTGCTCTCTAGTGTATTACCTCTACAATGCAGGGAACACTTGAGAAATTGCTCAAGGTCTGGGTACTGCCCTGACCTCAAGCGGTCTACTTCTGATGGGCGTTTAGCCAGCTCAGCGTGCGCTGGGCAAATACCTTGGAATGCAGGGCGGCTAAGTCCTTCTGGTTACGTGTAGGCCGAGGGCGGTCCAGGGAGCTTGTGAGCAAGTTACACTTCTCACTTCTGGTGGAAGTTCCAACTGGTAATTGCGTGATAGGTAAGCATGCAGTAAGGCTGAATATAATCGATGACCATGAATAACTATAGTTTAAAAAGGCCATCAAAACCCTAAGAATACAATTTTGAGCACATGAACCTCATTTTGTGAAGTTGTACTCTAAGTTTCAATATCAAGGCAAGCAACAAAAGCATTCAAGTAGGTTTATTAAGTGCAAGTAACACAAAAACTTTACAAAAAAGAATTGCATTCAATGCAATCGAAGTTTCAGAAAAATATTTTGCAAAATATTTAGTCTTTTCACCGTTTTATATTAATTATCACAGCAACTGTTTATTGATTTTAGCAAGTCTTTCGTGTTTAATAAACACCACGTCTTGTAAGAAGTGGAAAAAGATGAGTATATTTTCATCCACAAACATTCAAATTTTCAAGTATACATAGTGGTATTTCGACAGAATTTGGCGCAGTGTCTTATTTTGACAAAATTGTATCAAAAATGTCGATGTAGTACCAATGTACTTTTGAGATTCAAAATGTACCAAAAAAGTACAATTGTACCATCAATTTCATCACTGAAGCGCACATGTACATATGTATTTATATCAAAGATATTGTTGATGCTTGCCCTTACTACAACGTTATTTGGTTAAAAATATACAATATATATGTATGTATTTATTTC